TATATAGTTACAAGAATCTTAATAAAGTACTAGCGTGGCTGCTTAAGAGCAAAAAAAAAAAAAAAAAAAAAAATAATTATCTTAATTTTTCTTTCTAATATTAATTAAATCTAAATTATTATTTAATTTCTTCTTTAATTCACAATAAATACTCTAATAATTTAGTAAAATATTATTTGCAGTCTCAAATTGTTTAATAACAAAATATAGCTTTATATTTTGTTATATTACTAAAATATAAATAAAATTAAAATCAAAGTACTAAATAGCTTAAAAAAAAATATAATGCTGAATAATAATCAATGTATTTAACAAGTTTGTTAAATAATAATTGGAATACTTAAGAAAACATTGAATTAAAATATGAGTAGTTTGAATTTTTCTTATGAATTTTGTTATACATAAATGCATTAAATAATAGATTATTAATATCTGCTTGCAATCTTGCCTGAGTTTGACTAATATATAAAAATATATATAGTGTAACAGGTTTATTATAAATTTTAAAAAACTTTAAATCTTAAATTAAACTATAATAAATAATTATATTAATAAAATATATTAATATTGATATAAATAAATTAATATTAAATTAAATTAACTTACTACTGACATTTAAAATAATAAATTCTATTGTAATTTCAATCAATAAAACATTTTCGGAATTTGCAAAAATGTTTATCAAATTTTTTATCAATTGTAAAACATCATTATATGTAATTTTCTTATTAAAAAATTGAATAAAATACAGAAAATAAGATTTTAACTAAAAAATAAATTTAAACTAACTATTTTAATATGTCTTAATAAATAAAAAGATAATTGCAGATTAATTTCTTCTAATTTTCTAACAAATTCAATTTTAAATTTAAGAGAAAAACAGAATTTTCAAAAAAAAATTACAACTATCTTCTTTTACAAATAACAAAATATAAAAATACATCTTTAATATATATTGCTATTTGTGCTAAAAACTTAAAATTATCAAAATAAATTTCTAACTAAACTTAAAATATGTGTAAAACAACAATTATATTTGAAATAAAACATTATATTAACTAAAATATTAGTATATGTTTTTTCATATAAGCAACATTATTACTGATAAAAAGAATAATATTTTGATATAAAATATTATAAAAACTTATTATAAATAAAATTAATTGAAAAATCATTAAATTGTTAATAGTACTTAAGTATTTAATTTTTATCAATTTTGTTTGATCTTGATAACTAAACAAAATATTAACAACATTATGTTCATAAGCATCAGTTGCTTTATTAACTATAATTTAAATATATTGATCTCAAAAATTTTTTTTAATTCATTAATTTTATTTTAAAAAATTTGCAATAAATAACATTTATATAATTAATTTATACTAACAATTTCTCTGCCTATTAATTTAATTAATTTAAAATATGTTGATATATTTAACTAAATTAATATTTAATTTATTTATCTTCAATACAATAGTCTTGTAAAAATTTTTGTAATTTATTTATTTTCTAATAGAATATCAGCTTCAATGAAAGCCTTAACTAATGCTAAACTTATATTTTGTTTCTTTGCAAAACTTGTATTATTGGGTAAGATTTTGATAAGGCTTTTTTTTTTTTATGTAACAGCAAATTAAGATGAGTATCAATTATAGACTTTTTAGCATAATTAATAATATGTTTGCAAGCAATGCAATACATTTTGTCATTTAATTCATAGAAATCATCTCCATAATTATTTAAATTAACATGTTCAAAAGCTGTAATCTTTGCTTTTCCCATTGTTAAAAAAATAAACAAGAGTTTAAACGTTATAACTTCTTTTAAATACTTACACTAATATAAACAATTACAATTAACGAACAAAAGCAATGGGTAATGAATCTAATAATTAGAAAAAGTTACTACGCCACATAGTGTTTGTTTAATTATTACATATCGGATTTAGATCAAAAAAAGCACATATAATGTGCATTAACTTTTATTATGCTGATATTGGTTATTATCGTCATTTGCACGAATATCGCACTAGCTACATGAAGAAAGATAATTTTGTTTGTACACTTTATGTGCCTAAAATGTAATCGCATGAGTCTGAGTTTATTTAAGCCGGCTCGCAGAATTAAAGTTTTGTGTAATTAGCCAATCAAGCCTATTTATCTATTTTTTGATTAATATGATTGGTCAATGATCACGCTTTGATTTGTAAATTAGCCAATCATGTGAACGCCTTACCAAGAAAATTTGTGCTTCTACATATATAAAGCGAAATAAAGTTCGTACTGCCAATGACACCCTGCTACCTTTTCCATAATAAAGGTAATTATAAAAATTCTGTCCTAACTGACTATAATCTTTTCCGACTATTAATATATTTTGAATATTTTGATATTACATATCAGAAAAAAAAGATGAGTGATGAGATTGTAAAGGCACCTGAGGGCACTATCGTAATTTTTGTGCTGGGTAAGGTTTTTCAATCATCGTATCAAATAATTAAAAAAATTACTTTTATATATTTATTGGATGTATTCGTATTCTGGCACGTAGGTGGGCCCGGCTCCGGTAAAGGCACGCAATGCAGTAAAATAGTCGAAGATTTTGGATTTGTTCATTTGTCCGGTGTGTTTTTGTTATTAGCGTTAGCCATAATTAGGAATTTATCAATTGTGATAGTAATATTTTTATTGATATTTAAAAAGCCGGAGATTTGCTTCGAGAAGAGCAACAAAATCCGAATTCCAAAGATGGTGATTTGATAAAAACATTTATGAAAGAAGGCAAAATTGTGCCTATGGAAATTACCATTAAATTGCTTTCGAAGAAAATTCAAGGAAGCAAATCAAATATATTCTTGATCGATGGCTTTCCGCGAAAACAGGATCAGGCTATGCATTTCGATGAAAATGTAAGTAGCTTCTATCACGTGACCACGGGAAGGCCGTACGTATGTAGCTATGGACACGATTTTCCTTGGCCATGTTCATATATGTTTGGGTTAGCGCCCAGATTGGTTTAGATTTAAGCAAATAGATAGTAAAATCGCTCAAGAAAATCTCAAATTCTTAAGAAAACAACCGATTTTTGACCAAAGAACGATCATGTTACGTTACAATATACTGTGATTTTTTATTGGTCAATCATCACATGGGGTGGCGATACTGTAGTTTTGCATGTAGTCATGTGATGCCTGTTATGGACAACGATGTCTCTAAGCAATACTAATTTTTTTTCTTTCAATTCATCAATTTAAAGGTAGTAGAACCATCTCTCATTCTTTTTTTTGATTGTGATAAAGAAGTTATGAAGCAACGCCTCCTGAAACGTGGGGAAACTAGCGGTCGAATTGATGACAATATTGAAACGATTGAAAAACGATTCAAAGTTTTTCAGGAAGATAGTTTGCCTGTAATCAAACATTATGAAGAAATAGGAAAAGTTCATAGGGTGGGTATTTCAAAGTTTGAATGATTCAAAAAAATTTTAATTTATACCTTATCATTCATCACTTATCGATTTTACCATTAGATACCTTCTAATGAAAGTGCTGATGAAGTTTATTTAAAGGTCAAGCCACTTATTGAAGCTTTGAATAAATAATTTTTACATTATTTATTTTTAGTGTTGTACAATCGATAATGGACTTATGGACCAATTGGATTGGCCTTATTTGGACCATTCCAGTTGATCCAAATATTAAAATAGAATATCGGTTTAATAAAGTTTATTTAAAAAATAAGTGAAATGTGTATTATCCAATAAAATTATAGTATTTATAATTATATTAGATATTTAATAGGACAAATTTATATGTAGCCGTTGCTACATATAGCCTATATGTTACACATCAAATATATAAATATCTATGTATATACAGTAAAATAAATGTGCAAATATAATGCATATATTAAATACTGTATAAATTACAGATATGAAATATCACAATACTATGGTGTGAACGGTCTAATTACAACGAATTTGTTATAATAGTGTTGAAAATTATTGCTCATGAAATTGAATGAGTGGTCAAATTTTTAAATTTTTTATATTAGTATTGAAACTAAATACATAGTTTAATAGATCTTATTAAAGCTATGAAGGCGAGTTAATAGAAATCAAGTAAATTTTTATAATACAAATTTTTTGCAACTTTGAACAAAAATAACTTAATGAAAATTTAATCAAATTTAATAACAAATTTGTTTAAAACTATTTTAACTTGTAGAATTAATTTAAAATAAATCTATTTGTTACAAGCAGTAACAAATTCAGATTAATTAGATTGCATAATTCAAAAACTTCAAAAATTTTAAATCAAAATAATTTAAAATTATGGTTATAAAACCAACTTCAGTATTTAATAAAAAATATTTTTTATATAATTTTACTATATATTATAAGGTTTGGGTTTATAGTTTAACAGATAAGTTTTCAAACTTTTCATAAACAAGATCAATAGTTCAAGTTAAGTTAAAAACAATTTGTCTTTGTTTTTTTTTTTTTTTTTTTTTCAGGTTTAAAGAGCATCATCTATAGCTCGTAATTTTTTTATTAAAACTTACAACCTACAAATATTGTAGAAGAGTATTACATTTTGCATATTAATGAGGCTACAATTAGCCACTCATACAACTTTAGTCATTGTCTATTTAAAGGTTCTGTCTACTGGTTACCTACTAATTGCTATACCTGAAACCCGCCTGTGGGTTTCCTATTTAAAGTCTCTGATTTTCAATGTTTTTTCTGTAGTACCAACTTAATTTTTTAATAACAGATCTTAGGGCTACTTTATCCTCAACGCAAACTCTACTAAATGGAAATAGATCCTACGATTACATCTATTTGGATTTATGACATCAGAGGTAATTTCATATTAGGTAAGGCCAATCTTTTCCACAAACGTTGATGACATTCTCTATATTTCTTAGTATAGTAGTGATCATGCTCTGCCATACTGGTTTTCTTCTGGGAATTCCTTAGATCAAATATGTACCTTCACTTGGACTTCTACAGGACTTCACATCCAATTATAGGTTCATTTTTAGTTATAAAGTATTTTATCTCCAGCCAGACTCGAACCATTAACCTTGTCTGTGAGGAGATGAGAGCTTAACAACTAAGCTATAAGACTCAACCCCCAAATCACATATCAATTTTGTCTTTGTAATCTATTGAACTCATTAATCAAATATAAAATTCTGTAAGAAAATTCAAATACAGATATTAATTTGAAATAAAGAATTTCTAAAAAAAAATCCAATTGCAAAATGCAAACATTATGCATAACAATAGTATTACAAAAGGTTATAGTTAGGTGTGATGACCTAGTAAAATGGTCAGGTTGTCAACCTCCCAAGCGGTAGGTTGGGTGTTCAAATCCCATCGACGGTGAAAATTTGGATAATCACCTATGTAATCTGATATTACAGCAACTG